TGGGGAAACAGTGGACTCCAGAGAGCATGGTCATTAGCAGCAGTTAACGATGTGACTAACGGTGGCACGAGGGTTGAATGGAAATGCCACAGTGCTATGTGCTGGGTTAATGTGGGAAAGAATTCTAACAGACCAGAAATTGTAAAATGTATACATAATATAAAATCTGTCTTCTGTTCATGACAGATGGGAAAGGTATTACACCTACCCTCCTCGCAGTTAAGGGCCTTTTTTGAGTGAGGAGCTGTAAATATGTCGGCCTGATGGCAGCGAGATTTTCAACAAGGGTAGCAATAAAAACATTAACTGCTCCTTTTGTAACGTCAGTCTTGAGGGTATGCATTTAACGTAGGGAAACAGAGGGAGTGTTGCAGAAGATACCTGTTTTGTGGTATGTGGTTTATTTTATGTGTAGTTTATAAATATACTTGGAGATTCCTGCTAATAGACCGCGCCGTGGGGGGGGGGNGTGCATATAAGGCTATATGCTTGATAAGGAAGACATAAATTTTATATCGTGATATGGCAATGTGAGGTCAACAGGGATTATTTTGATCTTCTGTAAGGAAACCTGTGTTCAGGGTGGAATCCTTGGTTCAATAACGGTTGTGAGGAATGCCTGGAGAAAGACGGGAACATTTCCGTTGAAGAATACTTCCTTCTTCTGGAATCTTTTTCCGGCTGTCTCATTAAGCGTCAAATTCAGGTCTGGTGGGACCAGGCCTAAAGATAAAGTTACCTCATTGCTTGGTTAAACATCATGCCAAGAATGAATATGTGGCGAAGCGGACATACAGATCCAAGTATTAACCTCGGCACTGGATACAACTTCACGCTCCGGTCGCGTTATCCTCGGTACCCACTGGACTTGTCGCTGTAAGAAAAATTTCCTAGAAGCGGTGGCAGCCAGTTTTCTGGGGGAAGGTGTGCGCCTTTTGGTCTTCTCACATTGTGTAGGCCGGAGCGTTACTAAGGACAGCCCAGAGCAACATACTGCCTCTCTGTTCATGGTTACAAATTTATTTGTGCTATCCCTGTAACAGGCCTTGGAGGCCCATAGGGTTGAGACGTCGATGGTCCCACATTATGTAGACAATCGGCTCAAAGATGGCGGCAAGGTTGTCAGCCTGACGCGCCGGCAGCGCTTTACTCCCCAGGAAAATTATTTAATTAATTCCTGGTATTCATTTCTGTTAGAGGATGAATCGGCCCCAGGCCNGCACTGCAGTCGCGGGGAGGAGTTGCATCCGTTCTGCGGTGGTATGACTCACGGCAAATTGCAGCCGCGGCGCGCACTTGATTGTACGCACTGTAGCATAGTGCCTCAACCAACTACGCTACCGCGTACCCCCTTACACACTCACTGGTAGGTACAAGCGTTAAAGAATAGCTTCCTGTCCTCCATTATGAGAGAGAGAAGGGTTATATTTACAATGTATAGGCATACCTGAACTCTGAAAAAGAATGCAATATGTTTCTCCGAAACGTTGGTGCCGACCTAACAGACTATAGAATAATCATTGTTATAGGACATACGTAACACTCATGATAAGATACTGTAGCTATGAGACACACAACGAGCATGTACATTGAGGACAGCAATACCTTACAACCCACATATACAAGACGTATACTGCATGAACAGCCCATAACAATAATATCCCAAACACGTTAACTACATCACAGTCTCGGGCGTAATAACATCGACAGTGAGAGACGCTCTACCGCGTGGCCTCCCACAATTATTCACACAACACTGAAAACTCTGAACATAAGGTAAAAGTTAAGTTGACCCTGCGCTTAACTAATTAAGCACTACTCCATGAAGACGTATGGGGGCGTGGATGTATACCTCCATTATTCTTGACCTCGGCGTTATGTGGAGGTGACTGTTTACCTACAAGCCCCGGTTCGTCTACAGCCGGGGAAAGAGCCCCCGGTACCCATTAGATAGCAGGCCAGGTGATCCGAAGTGGACAAGAGAAATTCATGAATGTCCCGGGAAACGAAATCCGAACCCTCCACCGTCCAGCCCATAGCGAGTCGCTCTACCGACTATGCTATACCGGCTACCCAGAACGATGAACATCAGCAGACTGCTTTTACCGGTTCTCACGGTCTCTTCGCTTGCGGATTTCTTATATTTTCCTTCTACCCTGAAGATGGAGGCGATAGGTTCCTCCGAAACGTCGGTTAACACCACATATACACGGTGCCAAATCCCAGAAGACCGGTTTCTTCATGAATATTGATTGATTGTAAAACCAAGTTTGCTGTGTTGACCTTGCCATATACTGACGATAAAGAAAGTAAGGTCCTTGTAAACACTGGCACCCCCCCCCCACCACCACCAAATTACAACACGGCATCATAATCCTGAAGATGACTGCTACTGCTAGCGGACGCAAAACAGATTTAGTCTTAAAGATGGAGGCATGATTTGCTCCGAAACGTTGGTATCCACCTACCAGGCTACAAGATGGTGTAGGAATATAAAATGATACAGTGAAGGATATACAATCTTGTGGCTTACATCGCCTCCAGCCTCTGATACCTTCAGCCCTAGTCATCTGTGAGAGCCTCAGATTCACAAACCGTACATCATTTTAGAGGCAGGGGCTGTATTGCTGGAGGTGTAATGACTGCGTGTGCCGGCACAAGGTAGAAAAAGGCAAAGTTGCCGCTGTGCTTAACTAATTAAGCACTGCACCATGAAGGATATGGGGAAGTGGATGTATAGATCCACATTTTCTTGACCTTAGTAGTAGCTGTAGGTGAGTGGTCAGCTTCACGCCCAGACCGCTTTAGCCCCCAGTACCCATTTGAAAGGAGGTTCGATGGACCCCAGAGGCGGTCTGGAACACGTGAAGAAGAGAAAATTCACTGTGTGTGCCGGCGTTGAAGCCGAAATTAGTTGGAATAATATTTAGCAATTCAGTTCCTCTTTCAGGGAAAACATGATTCTTTATATTTTGGACCAGCCGGTTCATGTTGTTTAGGGAAATAGTCGCTGTTTGTTGCCTGAATAAAATGAATCACGTGAGAGGGGTATCAGTCATGTTCGGCGTTCAACAACCAACAATGGTATACCGGGCAAACGGTAACGTAGTCTAGATTTGTGCATGTTTCTACTCGGAAGGACAATATCGTGAAATCTGTACTGGAGTATCCTCCCCAACTGCCACTCAACATGGGCCCCGCATGGGAACGCTCGTAAAAACGTGCAGCTCTCACTGACATATCGACACAAGATGCAACTAGAATGAGTAGCAGGGGCTCGGGATTGCGGTCGGTGGGCACATAACATAAGGTTGTTTCACGGTTCATGTTCAGGGTTTTGTGGGGGCGATATTCAAGATAAATTGTAATGTGTATAGGTTACCGACGTTTAGATCCCGAGACGAGTTCAGTCGCGCTTTATGTGAGTACAGTGTGTCTCCCGCTGGAACTACCGAACGATTTGCGGCAAGCTGTCAGATAATATTTCTGCAATAGTCCTTATGTAAAGATTTGAGGTTTTGCCGACTCTGAATATTCATGTTCTGGGTTTCCGCGTTAAGACACTGCAGTATGGCGGATAGGAGGAACGTTTAGCAGCGGAATACGGCCTACATCTTCAGGAGAGGTAATACAGCAAAATATGTGCTAATTTCGCCATTATTCTGGCGACCCGTTGTGAACTAGGCTTTCCACTTGGTTTACATGACGAACTCGTTGAAAATTGTAAGATCTGAGGTTTTCACTGCGGTGACTATGAAGAAAGCAGTCTTCTTGTACCGGTTCTCACGGTCTCCTCGATTGCGGATTTCTTATTTTTCCTTCTACCCTGAAGATGGAGGCGATACGTTCCTCCGAAACGTCGGTTAACACCACATTTACACGGTGCCACAACCCAGAAGACTGCTTTCTTCGATGAAAATTGAAGGAAAATGTGACAATTCTCGTTTCTAGACATTTGTTCCATATACGATTGAGTTTTACACATATTGTAACTGTTGAAAAACAGTTCGAGTTAGTTTCCTCTGAATATCTGAATACACGTGCTGTGAACTTGAAATGTTTTGGAAACACAGCTTCTTAAACTAAGGACAAGGATCATAGCCTGGAGGTACCGCTCATCTGTACTACCGACTGGAGACACTGCTGTTTATTGCTGACATTTTCAAATCCTATGCTAAAGAAACGACGTTAGCTTTGCGTCCGATTTACGTGTAAATGACGTAAGGACAAAGAGTTCAGTCAACACTTCCCTTCTAGAATAGTCACAGCATAGAAGATCTAAAAGCCTGTGACGATTGAATACTGCTACAAGTATTGTTATTTTGGACATTATCCATCGTCTTGTCTATTTTTAAAATACCGTCCTGTTTCTTTTTTAAAACACAACGTTTCGCAGACTGGATTCTGTCTCCGTCCTCAGGTGAAACCTACTCAGTTGGATCCAATAGATAGAGCTAGACCCTCTCACCGGACCTTGGGGAGATAGGGGCTAGCTCTATCTATTGGACGGTTTTTAGAAAATAGACTAGACGATTGACAATGTCCAAAAACATAATACTTGTAGTCACAGCATCTTAAACTAGGCCACGACCGCTCTTTTACATGGTTTCGAACTTTTTTTTATTGCTAGTGGGGTGGGACTAAGTCCCGTGTACTGCGGCCACTTCTGGGCTATTGTACCAGCCCCGGATGATAGGTGAGGGTCATTGTAGAGCAATTGGTGGAATGAAGATTGGCAGGGGAAACCGAAGTACTCGGAGAAAACCTGCCCCAGCGCCACTTTGTCCACCACAAATTCCACTTGACCAGACCCGGGATCGAACCCGGGCCGCCTCGGTGGGAAGCCAGCGACTAACTGCTTGAGCTATGGCGCGGCCCTCGTTTCGAACTTAGTATTCAGCAGTCATTCTTCCAATACCAGCAACATACGTATAAAAAACATTGCGGTGCAGAGCGGCAGAGCGCAAGCGACGCTGCCTCTCGGTTGACTAGCAAGTTACCTGAGTCACTTTTGCCTGCAAGCAGCTAGGTCCCTTGGACATCCGGTCCCCAACGGCCACTGTAAAGGATAGAAACACACCGTTAGACAACCTTACCATTAGGGAAGGGAAGGAGCTGTAAAATTAAAATATTTGTGAACTGAAAAAACAAATAAGAACTCCTGCGGGATTTGAGGTTCTCACAGCAGTGGTTATCAATAATTCTATATTATGGGAAATAGCGCCGTGTAGTCCGTGAGAGCCAACAGACGTTTAAGAAGAACATGTTGCCTCCATATTCAGGGTTTATCTGCTTGCTGCCGGCTCCATGCTGGTATCTTACTTTGCTTACTCTTCCGCAATGAAGACGCTCTTAACATGTTCCTCGGAAACGTCGGTTGGTTTTCACCGGACAACACTGCGCAATGTTCCAGAAGAAAGACCTTTTCAAATGAGACAGAATTCACGAAGAAAATCAAGGGGATTATATATGGGGAGAATCAGTTCAGAAAATCCGTTGGCACATAAGAACGCAGCTCTACGATTACGCATTACAGAGGACTATGCTATTTATGAGTCCAAATCTTGATCCATTATCTCTAAAGAGAAAAGCAGGCTGACGTTGAGTTCTGCGCTCCACTAAATGTAGCAGGCAGAAGGGATCAAGCGCTGCGAGACTGTAGAGGTATCTAGCACACACGGGGCAAGTCACAGACAAAGAACACGGTCTGTTGGAACGTGACACCTCTTAGTCTGGTACGCGGGACGGCGTCACATACGAGACGACTGCAGTTTTTATGTTCACCGACGTGATAACCTCAAATCTCACTGGAAACCAACTGGATGTGGTCCCGAGCATGCGGTGTCAGACGCAAGGGGTGACATTTCAACACTCAGCTTTCGTTATTGTTATTGCTGTAACCGCCTCGGTGAAAGAGGACAAGGTCACACTTCCGCAAGCCTATTGCATCAATTTGCCACGTGACACCGCGCTGTGAACATGCATTGTTTTTACACGAGCGCTTTTTCGACTTTGTGTTTCGTTTTGTCTGCGATTGATGGCAAAATCGATCAACGTGTCTGCATCAGGTTTTACGTGAAGCTCGGTAAATCCGCTACCGAAACTCTTTGATATGTTTCGTGTGGCTTTTGGAGAACATTCTAAAAGCCGGGCAGAGGTTTTTAAAGGACATTCACGTTTCAAGGCCGGTTGAGGTTCAGCTGAATATGACGAACGCTCAGGCAACAAGCACTAGTAAAGCGACAGAAAATGTTGAAGAACTAGAGAACTTCACCACGAAGACCGTCGCCGAACATTGAATGCGCTCGCAGACACTGACTGGATCAGTTACGGAGTCTCCCAGGATATCTTAACATAAAATTTGAACATGCGCCGCATTGCTGCGAAGTTTGTTCTCTGAATCTCGACAAATGATCAAGAGCGCCGGTGAGTAAACGTGTGTCCTGAGCTACGAGGATCCAGCTTCTATCTCCAGGATCTTAACGGGTGGCGAAAGTTGGATTTACAAAGCAACAATCGTCGCAGTGGAAGAGCCCACAATCGCCAAAAGCAACGGATACAAAGCAATAATACAGCAATTGTTGGGAACGATGTTTTCTGTTCGGTCCGTGCAAAGGAATTATAAAAGAGAGTTCAGTTGTGAATGAATCAGACGAATTCCTGGGTTCCAAGAGAGCAGTTAGTCGAGAGTTGGGAAGATGGAGTTGAGAGTTCAGTTGCGGGATATTCCCAGTACAGAAACGGCGTGATTATGGAAGTTGAAGTATCTGCATTCTTAAGGTTCTTTACCAGGAAACGTCTAGTGAAAACACTGCAAAGAAATTGGCACTGTTGAGAGCTGTTACAAAGTAACAACTAGTCAAAGTGGACTGAGAAGGCTTAGCGTGGAAATCGGCAATAATGTTATAGTTATTTGTAATTAGGACCTGCAAGTACTCAATAAATCTATTCACCAATCCAAATCCGTCTACAGTCACTAATACACATGACAATATTAAATTAGCTTTTTCATAATATTAGTGTGACGGACCAGAATGAAACAAATCATATTAAATTCTGTACCATTCCTTCCTGCGGCACTAAACCCCTGGGGTCGACTCAGCCTCTAACAGAAATGAATACCAGGAATCTTCCTGGCTGACAAGCTCACTGCCATCTATGAGCTGATTGTCTAGAAAGTGTGGGAACCTCGACGTCTCACAACCCTGTGGGCCTCCAAGGCCTGTTACAGGGATAGCTTTACCTTACCGTAAATCAAAATGAACTCGCGCAGCACGCGGGCTCTCTCTCTCTTTCTCTTGTTCGGGATAGCTTCCCCATGAGAGAATGCAGGTTAGTTCAGTTAGTTCGTTAATCACTATCAACATCGCCACTCTGACACAAGATGCAACAATAACGTCAATCCCTTTCAATCAGAATCATGATGTGGGGTGGGGCTCGTACCCTGAGTGTTGTTGGGATGAACTTAGGAGGCGGGAGGCCTGACGGACACGGAGGGGCAGGCCTCCAGTCAGGCAGCGAGTTACATCTTGCACTGCATGACTCAGGCCTCAAGTCACGCACCAAACGAAACACATACAAAAATTCGGGTCTGACAGTGCAACTTCCCGTATCCATTAGATTACGACATATAGCAAAAGTCCGTCTATGAAACATCGTTACACTCAAGATGGCTGTTATGCACTTGCCAACTACAGCAATGTCGACCCCTGGAACTCCAGACTCTGCACACACACCGTCTTGAGAACCTCTAGCCTCACTGCATGTCTAGACGCGCCGTTCTCATAAGGACCACACCCCCTTTTGTGCGTTGTGTTGCGGCGCTTGCAACTCTCTGCCCAATGCTCCCTTATCACACGGCAGTCTTTGGCGTTTTCCAGTTCTCATCAACTTACAATTTAGACGTATTCATTTCATGAATACAGAATCGAGGTTATTTTGGCTGTGAGCAGAGCGATTCTTCTGCGATGCGACATTTTGTAGTTTATTAAAAGGTGACCAATCCGCCTAACACGGCGTCACATCTCATAAGGCTGAAGTTCCCTGTCGTTTAGTACGAAGGGAAGAGTCAACATTTACAAGCGAACAAGAGATCACAAAATGTTGCCAACATTTCGAAAAAAAACCGATTGGGAAAACTTGGTTCCCAGGATTAACGTTGAAAACGTTATCAAATTGGTCGAGAATTCAATAGAAATTATCATTGCTATATAAGCTTTCGTATCAGTAACTTCCAGTGTTTCACTCAGGCCCTATATATATTATTCAATAAGACACTGAGGCCGACGCTCAGCGCAATATCCCATGAGTAACATGCACAAGTAAACCGTCTCTTGCAAACAATGGACTACACTTCACACACACACACACACACACACACACACAAAGAGTACTGTCAGCACTCACTCACTCATGGAGCTGAGCCCTTCTTGAGAAAATGTCAATTGTGCAGCTACTCAAGAACTTCTCAGCATTTTATGGTACCCGAAGGTTCTTTACCGTGTTGACAAGAGCTCTTCTGCGGTCCCTATCCTGAGCCAGATCTATCCAATCCATACCATCCCATCCTATCTCTCCAAGATCCATTCTAATATTGTCCACCCACCTACGCCTTGGTCTTCCCTGTGGTCTCTTTCCTTCTGGCTTTCCAACCAATATCCTCTATGCAGTGTTCATCTCCCCATTCGTGCTACATGCCCTGTCAATGTCACATTCCTTGACTTTATCATTCTAATCATACTTTGTGAAGAGTACAAGTTATGAAGCACTTCATTATGCAGTTTTCTCGAACCTCCTGTCACTTCATCTCTTTTTGGCTGAAATATTCTTCTCAGCACCCTGTTCTCAAACACCTTCAGTCTATGTTCCTCCCTCAATGTCAGAGACCAAGTCACATACCTCACAGAACAGACGTGATAAACCAAAACAAATGTGCTCCCTCGTTCTTGATCTACAACTTAACTCACGTTCATGTAACATGTTAACGGTCGATAGACCACTGTAGGTGGGGGTGCAAGGGCCGAGAAGGCCCACCCCTCATACGTTCATACATTCGCTGATAAGGTAAATGGAAACTGTGTAATGTCAAGTATGTCCAGAACTTGTAGACACTTCGGTGTTACGTACGGTCCCACTGCTCGGCCGAGATACGGAACCCGGCAATCACGCAACTCGCTATCCGAGACGACTGCGAACACAAGTGTACTTGCTAAACCGCGGAGCGGCCACAAACGCTCAGTCAGCCTAATCTCTGTACACAATTAGGTTAGTCTCAGCTAACGTACTACATTATAGTGTGCCTCGAAAATTGTTTTTCACAGCATCACTGTTAAAAAGCACCAATTCTTTTTCATCAAGGAGATATCACCACGTGTATTAGTGACTATAGACGAGGTTCTGAATTGGATGACTGGATTTATTGACACCTTATACACATAAATCGGAACTACATAATTTACAGTTCACCGTTGAACAGACACTAGGGTTCTCAGTCTTCACTAGTCGCATCCTGGCAACGGATTTTTAACAGTCTCATTGTCACTTCAAATCACACATGAAGATTTCTTTTCATAACCTAATTCGTTTCTTGAAATTATTCTGTAACTACAAAAACATTTCAATTCCTCTGTTCCCAGACTCTTATCGCCGCAGGCTGGTGTCTCGAAACTCGACTCTTCTCAACTGAAGTCTTCTTTGTAACCATTTTACACGGACCACATAGAACAAACAACCTTTCTATTGTTGGAAAGGCGTGTTTACAGAGACGTTCAATAGAAACAGAAGTTACGCGATTGTTGCTTGGGTATTCGTTGGAGCGGGAATGTGTTTTCCGAGTCGTTGTCTAGCAATGAACGTCTATTCTGACTTCGCTATTCCGGCTTTTGTGCGTCAGAATAACTTCGTGACGAACGTACAGAAACTTCAGGGGCTGAATCGCCTTTCATTATCATTGGTGATGAAGGCTCGCAGTCACTAGTCACTATCGAACAACAATCAATTTCTTTACAAGGCATCATAGCCAAAGTTATCGTGTATGAGAAGGAACGTGCAATGTGTTTG